TGTGGCTTTCGAAAGCTTGTCTTTGTCACATAGTCTTCTCTTAGCCAAAACCGAATCGAATTAGCTAGTTCCTAGTGAAAGTTCAACCTTGTTTCTGACAAACCTTTTTCAAGACCACACCGGTGGCCAGCCGACAAGCTCTCAAGCGTGTTTTGCCAATTAGAAGCCGAGGCCAGTTGCTGCTCCTCTTTGACTTGGAACCCATCTTTAGAGTTCCCATAACTGCTTTGTCTTGCTTTGTTAAACTGCTTTGCCTTGCTTTGTTAAACTGCCTCCCGTTTCTTTAATATGCTTCCGCTTTTGTTAACTTGTGTTATATATATATATATACTAGGTGTTTTGCCCGCACTTGCGGGTTTAATAATTTTATTAATATCTATAAATAAATATATAATCAATTTATGTAAATTATAGTTCATAGACTCAAAATATTTAATAATAAACTAAAAATTTTCTTTTTATATATAAAATTTTTCATCATCATATAAATAATTTTCATTACACAACTTATATTTGAAAATACTCATGAACTTAAAACATTTAGTAATAAATTAATATCATTTTTAGACATAACAGAAAAATATAAAAAATTATCTTTAATAATGTTTTGGATAACACAATATAAATTATCTATACATAAATTCTTTGCGAATTGATTTTTCATAATTAACTATATATTAACAAATAGAATTACTTTTCAACGTTAATAAAGACTTTATAACACAATATAAAAAAGTTAGGTAAAGATAATTATCAAACTCATGAGATTCATTTTTTAATTTAAATTAATTATATGTTAACAAAAAAATAATTATTTTTCAAAATAAAGACTTTATCCCATAATATAAAAAATTAAAATAAGGATAATTATCAAATAAATGAAATTCGTTTTTAATTTATAACTAATTATATACTAACTGATATAATTATTTTTCAAGGTTAATAAAGACTTTATAACCCAATATAAAATCAATGAAATTCGTTTTTTATTTATGTTTAATTATATTAAATTTTTTTAATTATTCATTAAGGATATAAACGATATTAAACGCTCTAACTTTCAACGTGAAAGTTACAAATTAATCAGCAAATTCACTTAAATTTTATAATTGAAAATATATTTTTAAGATAACAATCTAATACAAAATAATTAACATATTTTCTAAAAGTATAATATTATTAACATAAATTCGTTTTTATTTTATAATAAATTATTAAAACATGAAAATAAGCAAAATAACCTAAAATCATGGAGAAGTTGACAATTAAGCAAATTTACTTCTCAAATAATGTTATAGATGAAAAATATTTTTAAGATAACAATATAATACAAAAGAATTAACATATTTTCTAAAAATATAATATTATTAACATAAATTCGTTTTTATTATATAATAAATTATTAAAACATGAAAATAAGTAAAATAAACTAAAATCATGGAGAAGTTGACAACTAAGTAAATTTACTTCTCAAATAAAGTTATAGATAGAGAAAGATTCTATAAAGTATTTTTTTTTTGAAAAAGGGAAAACTCCATAAGTACTTGCCTGTCAACCTCTATCTATCTTAACGAATGTTAAGAAACAAGGAGTCGTGACCACATTAAAGAAAGTGAAGAGATCCCATCCTCTTAGTATTGAATGGATGGAGGACATATACAATTATTTATTTTACCCTAAAGCTATAGCCTCCACGCAAATGCGGGTCGAAAATTTTTGATATGTTGCATTCTTCTTTGCTGTGGTGTATGATTTGGTTTGATTTATTGTGTTATGTATTGTGGGTGGTTGTCATTGTTGAATCAGAATTGTGAAAGTTGTGTTGGTTTTTTATTCTTCTGGACTTAAAGTAATGTATTTATGATTGAGTTGGTTTTAACCAACTAAATTTGTCGTGATATCATTTTTAAACAGTGTTCTACTAATTGGAGACGATAGTATTTACATGTTGAGCTTTTTAATGTTCAGCTTCCTCCGGTTTACTAATTCAAGCCGAGAATGTCGGGGTTGTGCATGTGTTGAGTTGAAATCCGGGTAGTGTTTCTCTATGTAGCTGCGTTGGATGGTTTATGGTCATTAGTTTGTGTAAGACATATTTCAAGTTAGTGTTTAGCTGATTTGGTGAGAGCTGCTAAATCGTTGTTGCGTTTAATTGGTTTGCTATGCTGGACTATAAATTCCGGTGATCATGTTCCGAATTCGTTCTTGTTTTTATCGATTGCCTATTAGTTAAAGACAGATGTGAATAAGCATTTGGTGTTTTTTTATATTGCAAAGAAGTTTTGAAAGGTTGTTTGGATTGAGGAAGAAGATAACGGACCTGTTTATAGAGCGATGCTTTGAAATGGGGCCATTAAAGATCTCTCGAGGTAAGATATAGGGAGATTAAGAGAAATCGTTACGAATAACTGAACTCTCTCTCGTCTATCTGCAGTTCAGCGTAAGTATGGAAAACCCTTGAAGATGAAGATAGCTGACTGGATCAAAAAATAAAAAAAAATACTAAACGTAGCAGATAATTCATGGTCAATCCATTTAACTCTTTTTTCTTAAAACATGGGTCTCACCTCCTGCTAAGTTAGATAGCCTTAGAGTATGATTAACCCTTAAATTTTTTAGGTTTCTTAATTTTTTTTTTGTCTGAATAAAGAAAATAAAAATAAAATAAAAAGGGAACGAGAGGGTTCTACGCTACTTTTACGATTTTTCCTTTCAGTCGAGTAACTAAAGTCCTGAAAGAGAAAACCTATTCCCAAGCAATCACGAATCGTCATGTGTCAATGTGAACCCGTAAACAGTCCAAAAACTATCAAAAATCGATCCTTATTTAGTGGTTTTTATAACATGTTTCTTAATTAATTGGTGGGGCCCACACCATAAAGATTATTGATGGTCTTATAACATCATTAACCCACCTCTTAAGTAGGTTTTTAAGAGGTGGGGCTCACATATTTTTTTTTAAAACAACCTATTCTTCCTCTTCTGCCAGAGCCAACTCTTATACTATTCACCGATCCCACTGACAAGTGCCGACATGCGATTAGTAAAAAAAATTTTTAAGTCAGACAAAAAAAAAATTAAGAGCTCATTAGCTCTTATGGGTTAATGGAAAATAACAACTGTACTATTATATATATGATTTATTTTTGGTATCAAATCCCTAAAAGCTTTATTAATATTATAGCAATAAATCTCGCAAACAAGACTTTTTTGTTTAAATGACATATATGATCTTGTAATTAGTTAAGCAGTTCTATAAAGCATTGAAATATCCTTAAATTCCACTAGAAATATCCTCCAAATCTAGAATCTAAATCTATAAAGTTGAGAAATAAATTGCAAGACTTTGACAAGTAACACAACATATATACAAATAGTGCACAACACACAATTACACAATATACTTTATATCTTATACTTTGGAAAACATCTGATATTTTTCTTATGAAAATTAAAATGGTGAGAAAATATAATCGTTCTCGATAAAACTCTGCGCATTCTTCGTCTCATTGGTTTAAATTTTGCTTTTGTTAGAGGATGGAAAACTTAAATGGGTGCAAAGCTATTGTTTCATTTTGCTTTGGTTCAAAAAATGTATTGACTATATTTTTACTAATCTCAGGATTTGGAAGTATTCTTTTCTGCTTTTGTAATCATATCGTGCCTCTTACAAAACGGAGATGGCCGGATGGCTTTAAGCATCAAGGATTTTACAACTGATGCTAAAAATACAAGCACTGATTTTTCTTATGTAATGTTTTTATCATTAACTATTTTCCTTTAATTCTGATATAAAACAACTTCCATTGACAATTAGATCTTCTTACAGGCGTTTAGAAATGCATGGAAAGCATTATGCGAAGCAGATGGAGAAGATGCGGCAACATCTCTAGTCATTCATGCCAATGAAACATATACTATACAACCACAATTGTTTCTAGGTCCTTGTGTGTCTCGTGATATTCATATTCAGGTATTTACCCAAAAAAATTGCTGTGGAGATAATAAAAGGTTTCGATTTTATTTTAAATCATGCTTATCTCTTGGTGCTTTTACATGATAAATGTTCACATTTTTAAATGTTGCTCATTCTATTTCACAAAGAGTAGCATTTGATAGTTTTTCACGCATATTTAAGAATGGTTTAAAATTTATGGTTTACTTCTATTTATACATTATATATTTTTATTTCTCTTTATTTATACATTAAAAATGAGTTTGAAATTTTTATTTTGAAATTATGCATTAAAATATGAACCAAAATAAAAGTCTAAAACGACATTCTTTATGAAGTAGATAGAGTAATATATTTTCAATCTTTATAAAAAAATTAATGATTTATATATATAACATTTGTGGCAAGATTGATGGAACACTTGAGGCGCCAAAAATGATAGAAGAGTGGGGAGACATAGGAGAAAGTAAGTGCTGGTTATGTTTCAAAAACGTGACAGGTATCGTCCTCAATGGGTCTGGTGTTCTCAATCCCCATGGTGAAGCTTGGTGGTCGTCTGTTGACCTCTCCAACCGACCACGGGTCTGTATTCGTTTTGCTATAAAATGTTTTTATTAGGGATTACTCATTCAAGATTATTAGATTGTTTCAACGATTAGACAACCTTTCTTCATGTATAGCTCATTTTCATTGTGCAGGCAGTAGAATTTAATGCAAGTTCTAACATTATATATAGTGGACTAACTCAATTCAATAGCCCGAAGAATCACGTTTCAGTTTTTAATTGCATCAACGCAACTTTATCAAATCTTCATCTCATCGCACCTGGAGATAGTCCAAACACTGATGGCATCGACATTGCTCTTTCAAACAATGTCCAGATTTTCAATTCATCTATCCAAACAGGTACTCTACATATTCCATTTTTTTAATTAAAAAAATTCTTTAATGAAATATCAATATGATCAATACACGCTAATACACACGGATTAATTGAAAGAAAAAACTACGCAATTTGTTTTATAGAGTTGTTTTAATATGTTAGGTGACGATTGTGTTGCGATTAATGGTGGTTCATACGATATCAACATAACTCATGTGGCCTGTGGTCCGGGCCATGGCATCAGGTTCGTACATACATCATACATATGTCTTTTCCTCAGTTGTCTGGTAATACATCTTCGTTAATATTAATGTGAGTGAGCAACTGAGAGTGCTCTTAATTAACGAGGTATTTTCCGTCAACTCTTACGCGCAAGTGTTGTTAAAAATATAGATTTAGAGCTATTAGATTTTATGGTTTATCCTATATATAGTTGAATACTATACATTAGACCTCTCATCTATATCAGAGAATCATAAACAACATGATACAATTTGATCGATATTTTGGTTAAATATTATCTAAAAAATGGAAGATACTAACACAATGGCAGACCATTAAGATTTTGGCTTGGTTTTAATGTATTAATCATATGTTAGATTGATTATTATAATTTAGAACACTAATGCATTTTTATATTTCTTACAGCAGCATATTTTCGTTCAATTGCAAAGGTTTTTCCTAGGGTTGAGTTATTTTAGAAAAATATATATAAATGTTAACAGTGTATTCCATCTCTGAGAAAACTGCAGTATTGGAAGTTTGGGCAGAGGTGGGCTAAATGAAACGGTTAAGAACGTGCAAGTAAGACACTGCAGCTTCAATGGAACTGAGAATGGGGCAAGAATCAAGACTTGGGCAGTAAGCTTTTGTACATAATTAGATTTACATATACATATTTTAAAGAAATTTTATATTTATCATATTTGATCTTACATTATGTTTTAGGGAGGCAAAGGGTTCGCCAGAAATATTACATACGAGAATATAACATTAATAGATGCCAAGTATCCTATCATCATCGATCAGAATTATTGTAACGGTGGCCACAACTGTAAATCAGGGGTACAATTTTCTATCTATAAATTATAGTCCTGTTTACCAAATATTATATATGTGTATATTGGACGTATATATACCTAAATGAAATATTATTACAGATTAATTTATAACACTAAAATTGCAAACTACTTCAACTTTAGGAATGTGAAATTCAGCACTCTTTTTATTATTTATATATGATTATCGGTTTTAATATAGTGTTATAAATTAATCTGTAATAATATTTCATTAAACACATGTTGTGAATCATGCAGGCGACTGCTGTGAAAGTGAGCGACGTAACATTTAGAAATTTCACAGGGACATGCTCAAGTGATATTGCTATGAAACTAGCTTGTGACAAGCTAGTAAGCTGTCAAAACATCGTGATAGAAAATATCAACATCGTTTCTTCGTCTCCTAAAAAGCATCTCTCCTCGTCTTGTCAATACGCAGATGTAGTTACTCACTTTGTCAACACTGCTATCAAGTGTGCTATTGATGAAGAACCTCGACCTCAGGCGCGGAGGCGCTCTATGCTGAACCTCCGGCACTAATTACATACCTTGACGAGATTTGTCACTAGGGATAAGAGGATCACTTAAAAAATAATCTATTAAAAAAGTTTGTTGGACCTATAAATTAGACTTAATCTACTCTAAATTACAAATTATATCTAATCTATTAAAATATAGAGATTCTTTTTATCTCCTGAAACAAGTTGTCATTTAAATTTGGACCATTTCTAGAGTGTTACAAATAATATAAGTCTGATAATTGATTGAACCACATTACTTAAATTAAACCAACACAATTAATGTAACATGGCGATCTTAATGTAAAGTATATTCAAAATACGGTAGATATCTATGTGTCTACCAAAAACACATATTTTCTCCTACAAATATGGAATGTTCTAAAAGAATATATATTATCAAAATATGGAATATGGAAATCTACTAATTATATTAATGTGGAAATCGTAATATACCATTTAGCATCTTAACAATTCCTTAAAAAATGGAAATTTTATATGAAACCAATAGAAATCTATTAAAATAGAGAGATTTTTTTTATCTACTGATACAAGTTGTCATTTAAATTTGGACCATTTCTAGAGTGTTACAAATAATATAAGTCTTATAATAGATTGAACCGCATTACTTAAATTAAATCAGCACAATTAATGTAACATGGCGATCTTAATGTAAAGTATATTCAAAATACGGTAGATAGCTATGTGTCTACCAAAAACACATATTTTCTCCTACAAATATGGAATGTTCTAAAAGAATATATATTATCAAAATATGGAATATAGAAATCTACTAATTATATTAATGCGGAAATCGTAATTACCATTTAGCATCTTAACAATTCCTTAAAAAAATAGAAATTTAATAATTATATGAAACCAATGGAAATCTACTCTATTAAAATAGAGTCTTTCTTTTTATCTATTAATACAAATTGTCACTTAAATTTGGACTCTTTCTAGAGTGTTACAACAAGCCATATAGTTAATTGAACCGCATTACTTAAATTAAACCGATGGTTATTTATGAGATATAGTCTTAGGCTTACTTTTGTTTTTAAGACAAATTATATGGTTTGATTTTTAGGCTTACTATTAAGGAAAAACTTCAAAAACATTGAATAAAATTTCTATCTTAATTGATCAAAAATCAATAATTACTTTCAGGCCCAAATGTATTTAATATTTTTAACAAAACAAAATTGTCTATTATTAATCATTTATTTAAATCATGTACTTTAAAACATGTTATTGTATTTTTTTTTATTTTAAATAACAATCACTTTTTTGATAAATTTCAATGGTAACTTTTAAATAATTTATTGTTTTATTTTTCTTAAATAATTTACTAATTTAAAATAAATAAATCTAAAGCAAAACCAAAAACCAATTCTAAAAACTAAAACCCAAAACCAAAAGCTCAAAACGCATTGTTCTGGATAACATATTGTTATAGTTTTTTCTTTTCTTTATTTACAAAATAAACTATTGCAATTTTTTAAAAAAACTTTTGTCATTTTTTCAGTTTTAAATTAGATGTTCGATTATTTGAAATTTGTTTGTTGGTAATATCAGTTCAAACTAAATCAGCGGATCTAAAAATCAAAAACCCAAACAAAAGCTGAAAATCAATAGAAACTTAAAAACTAAAAACCAAAATCTAAAAATAAAAACTGAAACTAAAAACTAATGAAAAAAATCGTCACCACAAATTTTGATATACTGATTTTATACGATAACATTCTTTAAATTAAGACATAACCCAATTATATAAATATTAGTTATAAAAAATTTTCGCGCTTTCAATCGCGGGTCAAAATCTAGTTTATAATAAAAGCGGGTCATTTAAAAAAAATCTATTACAATAATTTGTTGGATCTATCAATTAGACGTAATCTACTATATACCAATAAAGTTCGTAGTTTAAACTCATTACCTATGGCTGGCACTTTTATCCGGGATCCGGATCCGATTCGAGATCTGATTCGGATCGTTCCAAAATTAGTATATCCGGAGGTGTCCGGATCCGAATTTGAATAGTAAAATTTTGGATCCGAGCAAACCGAATCCGGATTGTGCAAACCGAATTCGGATCCAGATATCTTTATCTTTAGGTCCGGATATCCGGATTCGGATCCATATTTTTAAAAATATATTAAATTTTTATTTTATTATTAATTATATCTAATATAGTAACATTTATATATAAAATAAGTTTATAATATTCTATTTTAATATTAATATATTATATGTCATATATATATTCATATATTATGCATAAATATTTAATTTATGTATTATTTTTTTTAAAAAAAACTGTTTTTTAATTTTTTAATTATTTTTACGAATGCAAATCCGAATCATAATACCCGCGGATATCACAATATCTAAAATTATTTTATATAATTATTAAAAAAAAATTTACAGTCAAAACCTAATTATACTTTGTGATAATTGAAATTTTAACTAACTAATTTCGAAAATACATTTTAAAAAGATTCTAAAAGATATTTGAAAGACTTATTAGACATTTCTTTAAGATATTTATTAGTATTTCAAATACAAATAAAGATATTAAAAATATTATAATTAAGTTATGTAAAATTAACAAATTTTCTAGGGATAGTCCAAATAAAAAATCACATATAAAAAAATTCATGACTTCTGTTTTAATATATAAGATTTTTATTGTTATCCTTTCAACTTTAAAGCATTACATATCTATCAATTATACGATCAGTTTTAATAATATACTTTGCATAGCCGTTAATGTATTTTCTATAACAAATATAAATGGTGCTAATTTACTTTGTTTCTTACAAATATTTATTTGTTCAGATATGTTCATTTTATAAGTGATGAAATAAGACATATTATGTTGTTTTACTAAGCACTTAATCTCAACTACAAAATCAATAAACTTGCACTACAATAAAACCATGAAATTTAATAAATTAATTTATAAACTTTTAAAATCTGTCGAGTAAAAATATAGTACTCATTTATATATTACTCAATCAAATTTTCATATATACTATCAATGCTAGATTTACATTAAAAAGTATATGGTAAATATAAAAATTGGGTAAAGTTTATCTTTTCCATAAATGTATGTTCAAAATGCAATACTTTTTAACGTGAATATATTTTAAAGTTATAATATTAAGAACTAGATCAACAAAAATTTTACTTAATAACAAATATTTTAAAATTTGTAAAATGGCATTAAATATTAAAATTATGTATTACTGATCTTATTTATATAGATGATTGACTTAGAGCTAATGTTCTATATTCTAATTTTTACGATTATTCTATTAAACATACAAAATATTTTTGTATCACAAAATCGGGTTGAAAGAATATATAAGCGGTAATTTATCCACTCTAAATGATTAAAATAAACTTTGACCAATGAAAAATGTTAAAATGGACTAATTTATTTAAATTTAAATCATTAAAAACTAAAATCAGTACAAAATGGATTGAATAAATTTTCTTTTTTTGATATATATATATATAATAAATGACAGAAAATACTAACATATAAATTAAAATATATAAGAAAAAAGGTTCAAAATTATAATGATATTAAAAATAAATTGTTAACCAGAAATTAACATGCGCTTTTGAACGCACGGATCGAAATCAAATATACCCTAGGTTTACATATTCATTTCTAGATGATGCACAAAATAGTCTGACGTGATTTTATCATAGGATTCAAAAATCATACGGAAATCATCTCACCTACGAATGATTTATTGAATTAAGAAAATTTATTAAATCACGAGTTTGTATATTCTTCTATTTTATTAAGATTTCAGATGTGTTTAATGTTTTATATTCTTGTTTCTAACTCATTTTATTTCGTAATTTTCCATCTGAATTTTCGCATCTAAATATAAATATAATAAAAACATTAAAATATTAACACCACTTACGGTATTGTATAATTTCATTGCTCTTTTGAAATTTACACAAAAGACTTCTACATTAGTTAACAAGATACTTTCGATTTTAATATTTGTATGTAAATTAAAAAAAAAGAATGAAAATATTTATTACCTAATTAGCAGTATACTTTGACTATCCAATATAGTAATATGATTACATAAATATTAAAAAGTCAAAGTATGTTGCTCTATACTATATTGTCAACACATACTTCTTTAACAAAAGGTTTCGTTTCCAAAATTATACAACTAATCAAATATATCTTTTTCACCACAACAACTACGTAATGTCAACGTTATGTATATATATGCTTACAACACACAATCACTCAATATTATCTTTATAAGAAAAAGAAATAATTATTTTCTTGTCAGTTAGATAAAAAATGGTGAGACAAAAACATTATCCACTCAAATTTTCATCAATGTATTCCATTGTTTCACTTCTGTTTCCGCCTATGTATATCTCATAACTATTTTACTGTTATTAGGACTTCCAGCTACTGGTTTCGTTGCTTTTAATATCATCGTTTTATTGGCAATATGGAGATAGCGATTCTGATTTTCTAAGCGTACGAGATTTTCTATCAGATTCTGGCAATAGGAACGCTGATCAATCTCAAGTAACTGCTTATACAAACTCACTTACAATTAAAATATTTTCAATTACAAGATTAAATAATCGTTTGTATATATTTATTGAAATAGGCATTTCAAGACGCATGGAAAGCGTTATGTGCAGGAAGGTCAAAATCTCTAGTAATTAAGGCCAACGAAGTTTATACCTTACTACCACAAGTGTTTCAAGGCCCTTGTAAAGCTAGAAATCCTCATATTCAGGTATTTACTAGAAAGAATGTTATGAATCAACTCATTAGGTTACAACAAGTTATGAATCAAGTTGTTGTAACATAATGATCACAATATTCATGATTCACATGTATATTCTCTTTTTGGTTTTGCAAGATCGATGGAAGAATTGAAGCGCCAAAGCTGGTTAAGGAATGGGGAAAGAGTGAGTATTGGTTATCTTTCGATAAGGTGTCAGACCTCACTATCACTGGATCTGGTCTCCTTCATCCCCATGGGGAAAGTTGGTGGGGTCCTGTTAATTTGGACTCCCGACCACAGGTACTTCAGTCAAGAAGTTGAGTTTAAGATGTCTATATGCAATAATAAAACATTGATTGTTTTATCTGAGGGTTTTTATCTTTGCTTATGCAGGCACTGAGGTTTAATGGATGTAACAACCTTATATATAATGGACTAACTCAAAGAGATAGTCCAAAGAATCACATTTCAATCAGAAGTTGCATCCAAGCAACTTTATCAAATCTTCATATCATAGCACCTGCAAACAGTCCAAATACAGATGGCATTGATATCTCTCTTTCACAAAAAATCAATATCTTCAGCTCGACAATCCAAACCGGTATTAACATTTTTGTCTTGATTATGAGAAAATTATGATACACCTAGCTAGTTTTCTTATTGTAAGATATATATGGTTCTACTTATTAGGTGACGATTGTATTGCGATTAAAAGTGGTTCGTCCGATATCAACATAACTCGTGTGAACTGTGGTCCAGGCCATGGCATAAGGTTCGCACTTACAGTTTTATATATATTAGATTTTTCTGGTAAAATGAGAAAATCATATTATTATTCGTGCGTGGAGGTGTGAATTTTTTTTTATTGTAAGCTCTAAATTAAGATAAAACAATGGCTTTGATTAAAGGAAATTATTTTTAACATGAGAGTGTTTACATCTTTATCTAAAAAACAGTATAGGAAGTTTGGGGGAAAAAGGAGTCACTGGCTCGGTAGAGAACGTACGTGTACAACACTGCACCTTCACTGGAGCTGATAATGCCGCAAGAATCAAGACTTGGCCAGTAAGGTTTTAATTGTATTAACGAATTAGCATATCATTTAGAAGAAAAAAAAAAGAATGAGAATATCACAGGCAGTAAATATAAATAAAATATTTATGTAATTTATTAGATGTTACATAATTTCTTAGGGAGGAGGAGGATATGCAAAAAATATTTTGTACGAAGATATTACGCTGATAAATACCAAATTCCCCATCGTCATCGATCAGCAATACCCCCATGATCGTTCTTTTAAATCTACAAAGGTAATTTAATATTTATTCTTGTTTTTAAATATAGATTGTGATGATATTGGCTGTGATTATTATTTTCTTGGTCAAGTTGCATTCCTTTAATTACTAAAATCTCATATTCATAAAAGATATACATATAAACAATGTATTTTTATGTTCTTGACTCCTTCAGGGAAGTGCTGTGAAAGTGAGCGATGTAACTTTTAAATACTTCAGAGGGACATGTGCGCAACCCATTGCAATAAAATTTAACTGTGATAGAATAGGTTGTGGTAACATCGCGGTGGAACACGTCAACATCACTTCTTCATCTCGAGGAACAAAACCCAGAGCGTACTGCCGTTACGCAGAAGTGAAGAGCAGCTTTGTCAACATTGATATCAATTGTGATCCAGATCTTCAAGCTCCATCACCGAGTCCTGAACTTCCATCACCGATTCCTGAACCTCCATCACCGAGTCCTGATCAACCTCCTCAACCTCAACCTTCTGCATTGCATGCTCAACCTCGGTCGTTCTTCTCTTTTCTATATTTTAATTAAGCCCTAGCTGGTTGGTATTTAAGAGAAGGACTTGATCAAATAGAAGTAACTTTGTACTCTTTAAACCAAACAGCCAAGAATTAATAATAAATGAAATTTTATTACTTTGACTAATTTTTTGGAAAAAGCTAATATTAAAAAGTATTGTTTATTATCTAAACTATTAAATGAGAAGTATAAATAGTATATATCCCTTAGTTTTCCACAAAAATTACAACTTTATGCCACTGAAGTTAAAACACAGTAGTTTTGATTAATGTCTAATTATTATTTAGTTGGGATGCTGTAAGTTTGTTTTTGGCAGCCCATGAAGAAGAATTTCGATGGCCTGTTAAATAATATAATCTATACAATTATTTGCGAAGTGATTTTTCGCAACGAAACTCCCACATTAAAAGTTGGAGTGGTTAATATCGATTATACTCTTACTAAAAATAATATATATTACATATAAAATAAAAACGAATTTAAATTATTTTAATCTTAAATTAAAAATAATCATAAGAATTATCCAAAGTCTAAATAATATCTTTTTAAATAAGATCATTCCGATATATATTGTGATGTTATCTGAAAATATATTTAATAAAAAAGTTAACAATTAAAACAATAGAAAATACATAACTAAATATTAATCAAGTCAACTTCTTAATTTTATAATACTGAAAAAAATATTATTTGATCTTAAAATTATTTTTAATAGTGAACATAAATTACAAAGAAATATATGTAAGAATTGTTAAATGAAAGTATAAATATTATTGGTTTCAAAAAATAAAACACAATCAATACTTAATATTGTTTGATCCTAAAATTATTTTTAATAGTGAACATAAATTACAAAGAAATATATGTAAGAATTGTTAAATAAAAGTATAAATATTAATGGTTTCAAAAAATAAAACACAATCAATACTTTATCATTATAATTTTTTGATTATTTAAATAATTAAAATTAATAATAATCATAAGAACTATCCAAAATCTAAATAATATGTATTTAAATAAGATAATTCCTATATGTAATGTGTTGTTATCTGAAGATATTTTTTACAAAAAAAAGTAGATATACATAATTAAATATTAATCAAGTAAACATCTTAATTTTATAAATTGAAAAGAAAAAGTTATTTTTATTTTAAGATGATTTATTTTTAGTAGGGAACATAATGTACAAAGAAATACTTGTAAGAATGTTTAAATGAAAATATAAATATTTATGATTTCAAAAAAATAAAACATAAATAATACTTTATCATTATAATTTTTTGATTAGTAAAACATGTAATAAAATAATTATAAAATTTTTACGCCCGCAAGTGCGGACAAAACACCTAGTTATAGACAAATGCATAGTTTATACGTATTACATGTATACTTATAGATATTAGTATTCAAATAAAATAAAAATCAAGTTTAAAAACATGATAAAGTTTTAAAATCTATTTTCTTGTAAAACTCATACAATAACAGAAATATATAACAACTCACAAATATATATATATAACAGAATACAGAAACATGAAAGTAATTTATGCTATTAATTATAAACTAAAATCTAACAAATGAACCCATTATATGAAATTGTTATATAAAATTATTAAGTTTTTGTGTGTTTTATATGTTTATGTAATTATAAAAAAATATCCGTGCGGACGCGCGGCTCGAGCTCTAGTTTAGCTTAATACATCAGCCAATTATTTTATCCACTTTAATAAATTTGAATAGTAAAATTATCTTTTTATCAATGTTTTCAAAACTGAACCGGATAATTATTTGGATCACGGTTCAATGTTGTTCAACTATGACCGAATATGGTTCAGAAAATTATATATATATATATATATATATATATATATATATTTAGTATATAAATTTAAAAGCAACTATATAAAATATGAACACAATTAAAATTTAAATATATATCAAATATAAATATTAATATTTATCCTAATAATTTCTGTTCCCATCAAAACCTGGTTTAATTGACTAAACAAAGAAATAGAACCTTTCAAAGGGTTTGCTTCTCATGACCCTTTTGAGTTATCTACACTGTAACCCTTCAAAGTCTTGGCCTTTTAAAAGATTGTGCTGAAAACCTGTTCGATGGAAGTCCCCAAAGAAACGCGACAACTTACATCAACAGTTAAATCAGTGAATCCTGCTCTCATGCACAAGCCCTTGTGTTCTTCACTAAAAAATCTCCAACTGGGTTTGTCACGTCCTCACGTGGACAAGATCACTTTTTGTATAGCTCTTAAAGCATGTCGTGGAGATCCCGGTTGTCTGGGTTACATCTGGGGTTTACTTCCTTCGTATGTGTTTCAAACATTGTAATGGGTATGTTCCACTGCTCTTTTCTTCTCTGTGGACTCTGAAGGGTTTAGGACTGCAGTTGCATTATATATGTTGTGGTGAGGACCGGACTGGAGTCTGATGTTATCTTTGGGAACTCGTTTATAAAAATTTACTCGAGGCATGGATGTTTCAGAGATGCTAAGAGAGTTTTTGATGAGATGCTGGTGGTTAAGGATATATGATTTCATGGAACTCGGTACTGTCAGGACTTTCTCAAGGAGACAGTTTTGGGGTTGAAGAAATGCTTGTCTTTAGGAGATGATGCGGGAACCGGGAAAGTGTACATGGAGCTTGATCACGTGTCTTTTACTAGCATGATTACATCTTGTTAGTCACGAAACCGCCCTGAAGCTTGGCAGGCAAATTCATGGTTTGTGTATAAAAAGAGGTTACCAGACACATGTTTATGTTGATAATACAGTAGAACCTCTATAAATTAATATACATTAAATATTTCTATAAATTAATCTAATTTTATAGTTCCGAATTGAATTTTTGGTTCAATTAGTATATCTATAAATTAATATCTCTCTAAATTAATTAAAAAAAAATTTAGTGTAGTTCCAACATTATTAATTTATAGAAGTTTCACCGTATGTTGATGTCTAGTTACTGGAAATGTGGTGTTATAGAAGCTGCGGAACTAATGTTTCACCAGGATTTTGAATCCATGATGAACTCGTTCCAAGAGATGGTTAAAGAAAACATAACACCAGACCTGGTCACATTTCTGTCTGTGTTTTTTATTATTTTTAATTAAACTAGATTTGCCAGATGTTTGTTTTCACTTTTATATACATAAATATTTGTTTTAGAACATAAGTGATATATATTTTTAACATTATTCATATACTTAAATGTTTATATAATTATTTATACAATATTTTTATAATTTACATGTTATATTAACCAATTATTTAAAACCGTATGTATTTCTCACTTCTTATTATATATTTATCTTATTTTATTTACATTTAGTTATTAAAAAAATTAATATTTCATGAGAAAACATATTTGAAAATTATTCTGTATTTAATTTATGGTAAATTTTGATCCGTCCCAAAGTTGGATTTTCTTGTACCAATACTTTTATGTTTATTTATTTTAGGTAATATAGTATGTATATACAAAAGTATAAGATATGTTAATTTTTAGACATGTATCATATAATTTGCTAATTTTAAGCCGTTTTGTCATCATATTATATTTTTATGAAAATAAAATTTATCAATTTAATATACTTTTATCAAATTTAGTTCAATATAACAATTGTCTTTTAACATATGATGATTATAACTATAAAGTAGAGAAAATATGATATAATTTAATTTTTTATTTTATAAACGATAACTTAAAATACATTAAGTTATTGTAAAATATTTTTAAACAGATTTATTAGAATTTATAAAATTTAATATATTTATATATAAATATTTAAAATAAAAATATATCATGATTAAAGTAGTTACAAAGATTTTATATTATTAGCTTTAATGAAATAAATGTTAATTTCTATACATGTATTATATAGTTTGTTAATATTAATCCGTCTTACCAACGTATTGGATTTTATTTCTGAAATAAATATTTTATACTTACGAAACTAAAATATATAAAATTTAATATAATTTTATTATATTTAGCTCAAAGTAATAATTTTCTTTTAATATGATTGATTATGATTATATAATAGATAAAATATGATATCTTTTTATTTTTCATTTTATAAACGTTAACTGGATATATTTATGTATAATAATTTTCAAATAATTTCGAAATTAGTGAAATATTTAAATATAATATCGAAAATGAAGATCTTTTAACAATCTTTTAAAATAGATTAATTGTTGGAATTGTTAAATAAATATATTTATATTTAAATGAAAAGATATCAAAAGATATTATAACTAAAGTATTTTAAATATTCTATATATTATTTGTCTTAATAAAATATATATAATAAAATAACTAAGTGATAGTATAAATTAAAAAATCACACATGAAAGAAGTCATGACTTTTATTTTATAATAGACAAGATATGTTTTAGAGTTATTACACATATTAAGAAACATGTAAATAAGTGCTTTATTTTTTGTGATTAACTATCTTCAATTATTTTTAGTCAATCAAAATTCAATTAACATAATTAATATTTTTATATTTCACAATTTATCTTTATTATATGCATTGAAGATGTAAAATATAGATCTTTAAGAAACAATTTTCTAAAACATGGATCATTTTGAAAGAGAGTAATTATTATCTAACTTTATAATAATTTTTGTGTGACTTATAATATTAATAATATAAATTTTATAAATTTTTATTTTTGTAACAAAATGTTTTAATAATAATATTACATAAAATACTAATTTACGCATTTTTTTTTGTTTTACTTCTAAATTTGTAAAATATGCAAAAATTAAATTAAGTTGGAAATGCACAATAGAGAGTCAAATATTTTGGATGTTGTTTATTATACACAATTTCTAATTTTTTATGTATAAAATGGATTAAAATTTGAATTGTATTTTATGATAAGTAAAATTTTAACTAATTGTCTAAAATAAATTTTAAAAGATTCTAAAAGATTTTAAAAATATTTTGCTTGAATTATCCTAAAACTTATTTATTTTTATTC